TAAAATTGAGTAAGGTTGCTAAAAGTCACAAGCGCGCCCAATATTCAGAGAGGCATTATGAAAATATTTATTACCGAACCATAGAATCGTAGAAATGTATTTGAAGTAAAGATGATATTATCAAAAGATATCGATAACAAGTTATTGAAATTCTGACGGTCAGCGACTACAAAGGGCGCCTGACTTCCATAGCGATAGCGATAAGTCCATCGATAACCATAAAAAATCGATACTGAAAATAAATCGCTGACACTCTTTCTAAGTTAAAAATGATTTAAACTTCGCCTCTTTCGGCGTTTTTTCGACACACATATTTCAGTTTCTTGAGCTCCCTGTTTCTATCGCTTCGTTTTTTATGGTATTGAAACAAAAAATGCTGCCTGCAGTGATATCGATATCGGTAATTTTATGTTTTGACAACAACATCGATAAATGATATAGTTATCGATAATTAAAAAATATCGATAACAATAGAAATGATGGTGAAAACTAAAACGATAAGAAGAGATAGAATAGAATGTCGATTTTTGCAAGGATCGTGCTCGTTTGTGTTACACAAGATTATTTCCATTAAAATTTTTTGTGGAGAAAAATCTTTCAGTCTCCCGCTACACTTTTTTTTCACAACATGCTTTAACGCTGCGTTTACTTTTCGTGATTTTAAATTCTATGCGATTTATTGAATCACCGGATCGTATCCACCCGATTTGTTACTTATCGTTCAGCTATTGTTTTTTCGCGCTATTGTCTTCCTACGGTAATTAGTTGTACCAATTTGGTGCGCACACGTTTACCACAGCTCATTTGGGAATTTGTCTACAAGTCTATGTACAACGATATTTATGTACCTACCTACATAGTATTTATCTGAAATGAATGGCATGCAAAGTGGCAGCATATTGCTGTGTTTTGATCGCTGTGATCGCCATTCCCATTTCCCATTTAGCACGCCCGCACAGTTGACGATTTGCCCGCTATTCAGCGCGACAATTTGACTGTCAGTGGGACGTCATGTCATTCGGCGGTTGGATGCTCAGTGAAATGTGCAAATTTTGTCGACGACGAAATTTGCTGCTCGCGCTCACTCAGCTGCGCCATTCCATTCGCGCTGAAACAGTCGAGGTCAGATTTTCCGGAAAGACGGTACTTGCACTGGTGGCGCTGCGACCACGAAAATACAACAAAAATTAAAAAAAAAAGAAAAACCCCGAACAACGACAACGACGATAGTGTCCGCGTTATTCTCTGTTTAAATTAAGTGCATAAATGTAGTAATTTGTAAATTTGTAACTCGCGAACGAAAAATTATATTAGAATTTTTTTTAAATTTTTTTTGTCAAATTCAGTGTTCAGTCGTTTTGTCGTCCGCTTGATGCTCGCAATCACTTGCAGACACTGGACGCGCGTTCTGTGTAGCTGAACGATTTTTCGTTATTTTCGTCTGAATTCCGCGTTCGAGCGCGTTTATGTCGCACAGTTTTTCGCGTCTAGCTCCGGTGCCCAGCGTAAGCGTTCAAACTGAGCTCGTCAAAGCCACCGAGTTTGCGTCACGCGCAACACGAGCTGCAGACGTTTACGACAAGCAGCAGTGGCGGTGGCGGTGGCGGCGGCGATGGTGGCGCCAACAGCAGCGGCTACGACAACGGCCACAGCTCAGCGTACGCGTTGCGAAGGCATAGCGGCACACGTGGCTCGATTGTGGGCGGTGGGGTGCGCGACGGCGGCACGGCGAAGGCTAGGATACGTGAAACGCGGCTGTCGCCAGCAACGCTCAACAGGCGTGAGCTGAAGATGGCCATGCGCAATGGCGCTGCAGCTGGTGTTGGTGTAGCTGGAGTGGGTGGCTTAGGTGGACCACCACCAGCGCCTTCGACGGGCATGGGAACGGCGAACTTGTTGCGAGTGAGTTGTTGTAGTGAGGTGGTGACTTAGTGATTGAGCAGTGAAAAGCGAAAATGGAATCTTTTTGTGAGCGAATTGTTAAGCGTTTTTAATTTGAGTGGTGTTTATGTTTTGATTGTGCATTGTACGTCACAATGAATGTCAAACTGTGTGCATCAATTGGCTACAATAATACTTTGCGACTATTTTGAGGCATCCGAGGAGTGTGGCTACACTTAATTTAAATTCACATTTTGTTTTTTTCAAGAACCAAGCTCATATTTGGGCTTATAGGCACCGGTGTGACATTGGAAAGTGCTAGTTACTACCAGGAGGGTGCTTTAGTGGTTAAAAAAATATGCAAAGGATGCACTTAAATCCGCAAAGGAAAGTGTTGTCACTGGCGTTTTGTTCTGGTTTTCTCTGGCGGGAAACTTTGTTTTAGTTTTGATAGCACCAACGGATATTTATACTTATTTTCACAAAACAAACTCGAATGTGTTTTGGATCCCCTCTGACCGCGATGTCCTTTTATGAAAGAATTAAGCTCAACAAGCTTAAAATGATGAAAAATAGGAAAACTTCAGAGAAGAAAGTACAAAGGACATCATCAGTCGCACATTCCCGGGGCTTTAATTTAATTTGTTGTTGATTCGTTTCCCGTTTTCTGGAAAACATTTGAAATTATTTGTTTTGCAATGAACCAATTTTTTTTTTTCGTTATATAAACCCGCATAAAAACAAACCGTGCAAGTTATTTTTCAGTTTCATGCGGAAGTCATTATTAGAGTATATCGATGGCTGAGTGGAAGATCGACATATCGCGGCAGCCAGTTCGAAAACGCCCTATCTCGGAAAACTTTCCAACAACGCCCAACTTCGGAATTTTGTTGAAGAACGCCGTATCTCAGGATTCAAAAACACCCTATCTCAAACGAAAATACATTGAATATGAGCTTTGATAGGGTATTTTTGAATCGGCAGCTGAGATAGGGTGTTCTTCAACAAAATACTGACATATGGTGTTTTCCAATGAAATTCTGAAATAGGGCATTGTTGTAAAATTTTCTGAGAAAAAGGTTTTTCGAACTGACTGCCGAGATAGGATGTACATATACACGAGGGGCAATCAAAATGTAATGATAAACGGGTATGCCTAACCACACTAATGCAACGGTATTCAGTTGCATACAACATGACTACTAGGGTCACGAAAAGAATCCTTAGTAGTCGCAAAACCAATGACATTGAACTCGATATGAGGTCGTAAAATTGGACATTTTCGAGCATTAAGAAGGTTTTATAGTACGAGCGATATATATGTAACTCATAAGGTACCAATGCCTGAACAGAAATACGTGTCGACATAGAGGAAATAAAAGGCAACTTTGCTCCTAAATATCATACAGCTCCGAAAGTGGGCCGAGAAGTTAAAGCGACTTAGAACACTGAATAAAGAAGAACATTGTACCGGGCGTTCTTCAACGTCCTATCCCAAGCGACTTCTATCTCCTTCCTCGCTTCAAGGAATTGCTCAGAGGCATGAAATTCGACGACGATAGCTGCCGTAAAAGCATTTTTCGAGGATCAAGAGAAATAATTTTCTGTTTTTTTAAGACATAAAAGCTCTAGAGAAGCGATGGACTAAATGTGTCGGCGTCGTTGAAAAATAAATTTAAGTTAAAGGAATAATTATTGCATAATAAATATACATACTTACTGATTATCATTACTTTTTGATTGGCCCTCGTACATACCTGGATATATATGTATTTAATAGACGTGTGCATACATACATATGTGTATGTACAATGGCGGTCAAAAATTGATGAATCGTGTTTTGTTTTTAATATTTTCAATGGTTTTCAAGCTAAAGTTTTGTTGATATTTTTTTAATAAAACATGGTTCATGCTTTAACAAAAACCAAATAAATCACACTTTCAAACTTTATGGAGAATTAAGAAAAATTTCACAAATTTGTATCTAAATTTCGTGCTTTTTAACCTGGAATTTATAACTTATTTGAGTATGCAGCTAAGAGGCTTATAAAATTTTAATAACATAAATCCAAGTTTTGAGCAGCTAAAAAATCGCATTGATTTTTAATATTTTCTTTTTTTGCTGGTGGCTTTTGCGGATTTTTCACATAAATTGCGAAATTTGGAAAACCTGGCGTTGAATTTTTTTTTACATTTTTTCGCAAACGGTCTCGCGCATATTCTTCCACAAAATTTTAATGCTTATATGGAAAAAAGTGCAAAACGCCATCAACAAAAAAAAAAAATATATATATATTAAAAATCAATGCGAATTTTTAGCCGCTCAAAACTTGCACCTTTTTTACTAAAATTGTATAATCCTACTGAAAAAAAATTGTAAACGTTCTGGTTAAAAAGCATGAAATTTAGATAAAAATTTGTGGAATTTTTCTAAATTCTGTATTGAGTTTGAAAATGTGATTTGTATGGTTTTTGTTAAAGCATGCAACATATTTTTATGAAAGAATATCAAAAAAAAAATTTTTTCTTGAAAAACATTGCAAATTTAATAAACCAAACACCGTTCATCCATATGTATGTGAGTACATATGTGAATAACTGTGAATTTCTAATTAAATACTAGATGCTCATTTAGTTTCATTGATCACTCAAGCGTGCGCTGCTGCTGCTTTTCGTGTCTCGTGAAGTGAATTTATGTATTTTATTGCACTATTTTGATTTTCAATTTCCGTGATGCGCTCGTGAATTCTATTTTCATTCCTAGCATTTCACATTTAGAATAAAATGTTTTTGTTTTTTTTTTCCTATGTATATGTACATATGTATGTATGTATTTTCTAATGCTTTGTAAGCGCTGCCAAATAGTGCAATACATGCCAACAAATATAAGCATTTATTTATTTGCATACATACATACAATGTATGTATATGTAGTGAATGAACTTGGTTTAAAAAAAAAGTTTGCTGCATTAAATTGTTCATAAGTAGATAAATAATGTGCATAAAGAGTCTCTGTAAAATTTTGATCGTTTTTTTATTATTCTTAAAATTCTTGTTCGTTTTTGTTCCAAAAGATTTCTGAAATTCTGATCGCTTAATTTTTTGAAACAATAATTTGTGAAGATGCATTAAATTTAAATAAATTGCCACAGCTGCTCAGTTCAATTTACTAATAAACATACATACATACACCTCAAAAAAAAGCTCACATAATTTGGCAGCATTTTTGTTGGACTCGGGTCCAGGGAAGGTTTATTAATAATATTTGGCAAGTATTGAGCTTTCTGCGCAGCAAAGAAATATAAATGTTTGTTTTGCCTTTTCTACTTTGTTTTTCATTTTATACACATACACAAGTACATATGTATGTGAGTACATATATTTACATATGTGCATGTATAGCCGAGTGAGTCTATGAACCTGTGCGTGACGTCACACCTGTGAACTCATTGTTCTCTTATTTACTAGGTGTTTTCATCATGGCGGTCAGCTGAGTTCGACGCATTAAATTGTTGTTGGTTTTCTGCATAAAATCAGTGAGGGCTTTGTTTACACTTACCATATTATTTTTTTTATTTTTTGTTTTTCTCCAACTTTGTTTTTGCTATGCTATTTCTGAATTCTATTTCATCGCCTGCCTGCCGCATGTGGGCGGCTGGCTGGTGTATCTGGTATGCGGTTGACCGCCGTAAAATTTCCATTTCCATTTTCGCCACCTCAGTTTGTTGAAATTCGCGTGAATTGATTGAAAATAATCGACAAATATTTTTCATAAACAATCATGTTTTTTTGTTTTTTTTTTAAATAGATAAATGTGAAATATACATACATAATTGTTTTTCAACGTTTTTGTACGCCTTATAGTTAGTAAGTTTGTATGTATGTATGTACATGTGTATGTATGCACGTATGCAGTATGTCAATATGTTTCCTAAGTACATAGCGTCTTTTCGGTACGTATACGCACTGTCTGCCAGCTTAAATATGTATGCTCGTAAGGCTTGCGAAATACTTAAGTGAATGAGTGAGTTTTTTTTATTTTACTAAACCGAGTGTTCTCTTTGCCATCTGCACTCGAAAACTTAGAGAGAATAAAGGTTTTGCGCTAAATTGTTGCGAATTTGTGGTTATTGAAATTGTTGAATATTTTTATGTCTAAGTTTTAAATGAACAAGAATTTAAACCTACTTTTTAAATTATTAGAAACTTATGTCCAGACTCAACTTGATTATAAATTTTTGTCTACTTTTAAAATTACCACGAATTGATGTCCAGTAAATAAATTACCAAAAGTTCATGTACGGTTTTCACATGACCAACAATTTACTGCACTTATTAAATAAACATAAATTTATGTTCAGTTTCTAAATTAGCAAAAGTTGTTTCCTAGTTTTGCATAAATTAATGTCTGTCCAGGCTTTAAATGACCAACAAATTCTGTGCTGACCTTTGTATTTATGTCCAGTTCTTACATCAACAAAAATTTAAGTCTAGTTTTTAAAATACTAATGTTTTGCGTCCACTTCTTAAATGACCATAAATTTATGTCCAAGTTTTAAATGACCATTAATTTCTGCCCGGGTTTAAGATGACTTTAAGTTTTTAATCAGTTTTGAATGACCAAAAGTTTATGGCCAGTTTTAAAATGACCATAAATTTATGTCCAGTTTTAAAATGACCATAAATTTATGTCCAGTTTTAAAATTACTATTACCTTATGACCAAAAGCTGTATGTTATATTTTTAAATTAACATTAATGTAGATCCATTTCTTAATTTGCCATAAATTTATGTCCCGTTTTTAAATTACACAATTTTAAGTCAGTTCTAAAATGACTAAATTTAAAATCATTTTTTATGTAATTTAAAATTTGCGCGCAGCTCTCAACTGACCAATTTATTGTTGTCTAGTTTTTAAATGACCATATTTTTTTTTTCTATATTTACCTACCTACAATCGTTTAGGTATGGTCTCGAGTTTGAGGAAATTCCATGTCTGATTGCTACTGTCTCTTGTGATG